TGACTATAATCTTACAACTAAAGATGTTTTTGTTAATGAGTCTTATATTTTCACCAGTGAAACAGGTAAAATTATGCTGCTCCTCAGAAATTTACAGCAGTGAATCATGTTTCTACATTTTCTGACAGCTCCAGTGACAAAAAATGGCCTAATTTCATGAACAGGCTTTAGTAACATGTATTGCTCAAGTGAATCCTCAATGGCATCCTAAAGTCTCAAACAGTAATAAATTTCTTAAGCAGCTTTGAGAAACAGTTCTGAAAAACAAGATCAGTGATTCTGCTTAAAGCAGCAAGTCTATCCTACACTTCCATTCCAATGTTTCTGCCAATGTATCATTTCTCTTCCTACTACTACTGACCAAGCAGGGTATTCCCTTTGGCAAAGAAAAACAAAGTAATTGACATCTCAACAGACAAGCAATTGGAAGAGCCGCGTTAGCAATTCCGTATTTCAACAGACAGTATATGGTAAAATACCAGTGGTGTGTATTGTTTACTGATTACTGTACAGCCATGCAAATGCAACAATGACTGCAAACACGCTAATTTACTTGGTTACTGATAAAAGTGAAATTTTGGCAATCAAGTCTTTAATCTTGAATTAGGATGACTTAAGAAGAGATTTCCAAGTCTTGTCACCTCAGCAATCTTAAAGTTAGCACCTGAATTTCTATGACAGAACAATATTTCTATAGGACTCATGCTGATGAAAGCACTAGTGAAGGAGAAGCACTGGTTTGTCCAGTTTCAAAGTGCAGGGACAGGGAGCAGATTCTGGAATGAAGAAACAGGAAGGTGGCCCAGCATGAAGGACTTGGCATATTTACAGCAGAGGCACGGAAGAGAGGTTGTTCAACAGGCTTTTTATCACCAGGAAGTTCCCACATCACTTAGTGGAGCACTTGTCAAAGCCAGCACGGAAAAGAAGACCACCAGCTCAAAGACAATGCCCTCAAGGACTACAATGCTGAGGTAAAAATGACCAAGTGAAGGGGAGATGTCCCCGTCCCACAGCAGACACCCTGCTTACTGCAGTGCCCCACTGGAGCACACGGGTTCTGGCCATGCACAACACCTAAGGAAACTAACAGAGATGAAAGATGAGTAGCTTTCATATATCAAAATGGCCATGGCTAATCCCCAGTCCTGAACAGGGAAACTCTGATCTTCACACAATGCAACACACACCAGCTCAGACCAGTACGGCATCTCCTTCCTTAGTACATTACTTCTACAGCACCAAATAGAATTCTGAGACAGTGGAAATGTTTAAACAAGGATTGAACACGCTCATGCAGCTGCATTGCTTGTTTCCAACATAAAATACGACCTTGCACTTCTGAAATACTTGGACTTTTTTCCTCTTTGCTCATTAAAGGCTAAGCTCACTATGCATGAAAAATACCTGCACCACCTTAGTCTGTCAGAACTCCAAGAACTTCATCCTGATGTTTCAAGAAATTGAAAAAACTCTTCCACAAAATATATGGCACCCCTAACAGCTCTATATTTAATTTTTCTTCAAAACATTTTCAATAAATATATTTAATTTCTACATCCAAAGAAAACGTAATTGAGTATTATCTTTGGGATTTGTGAAATAAAACTGAACATCGTTGATGAACTGTACCTGACCAGATACAGCAGATTAATAATTTGGCAAAATTCCAGGTAGGGTTAAGGAATGTTCATCAGTTATATTTAATTAAAATCAGTCAGTCTTACTTCCTACAACTGCTAGTTCTACAGTTGATACTAAGGGAGGTGAGGGGAGAAGGAAATGGAGTACACTACATTTTCCATTACTTCATAGTGCATCCAGCCTTCGGTGTACCAAAATGCCAACTTAACTATTACTGTGCTCTGTTTACTATTCTACCCTTTCCCCTGCCTCCACCTGAATTCTTCTCCAGTAATTTCTGGACTGCCTAGAAATTATGTGTTCAAAAGAATCATAAAGACTCAATTACTTTAGATGTTCAAATGTTGAGATCCACTTTTGCTCTAAATTCCTTAGAATCTCTGAGCAGTAGAACATCTACTTGTAGACCTAATAGCAAATAGTTAAAACTATAAAAGCTAAATGAGCTAGACACTTTTTTTTAAAATGGAAGTGCAAGTATAAGGAGAACAGTGATTGCTAATCCTGTGGGTGGTTTTTTTTTCAAGCTAATCACACAGATCTCTTTCCTGCTGTACTACAGAAACTCTGAATTGTAAAATGTCTTTCAAATGGAAAAATGTTTCTATTAGAAACTCTACATGCCTGTAAACTCACTGGAAGAGGTTAGTCTAGTTACAGTGTGTTGAACACTCAAACACAAAGTGTACACACTTCTGAACTCAGAATTTGTCAGATAAGTGGAAATGCTGGCTTGTGAGCAAACCCACACACATGAGAAAGGTACTGACGACCCAAGATGCTTACTACTGAACAAACAAAACAACCAAACTCTAAAAGCTAATTATTGCCCTTTGCTATGCAAAGCTGGGCAGGTTGGTAACATTCGTGTAACAGGTATACATCTTAAAAAAAATAAATCCACGGGAATTGAAAACACACAACACACACAAAACAGATTGAAAACAAAACCCCACCTTTATGCTTCACTTGCAAAACCACAAGGCAGTTAGCCACTTAGCTCCTGTGTTTATCATCTCAATGAAATTCAGAATGGGAATGGGTTTATACTTGTGTTAACAGCCTGTGTATCAGCAAATTACGTATCTGTAAGGTATTGCATCCTTTCAGTAACTTGGGCCAGTTCCCAAATCATCTGTTGAAAAAACCTCATCCAGGCATGCTGAACAAGACACATGGCCTGGCTGGGCCAGGAGGCAGCATGGGCTTACCCAGGACCACCTCACTCCTGGCAGGGGGCTCAGAGCTGCACAGGCAGACCTCAACTCCTCCTACTGTTCAGCTTCCCACAGAACACTACAAGAGGTGGCAGAGGATGATGTGCTACAGTCTCCAGAAAAGATGTGCAGAATGAGGAGAGGCTGCAGGATGACAGAGGTGTGAAGGGAAGAGTGAAGGCACAGAAGGGAAGTAAGTTTTCTTATGGCCTGCACTTAGGACTTCCTAAAAGATGTCTCGCTAATTCAAGTCAAACACATAACCAAAACTCCACAAAGCAGGGTCATTATCTGTAACAGGGCATACGAGTAGTTCATTAGCAAAATTTTCAGTGTGATGAAAACCAGCTTTGAGCCTTTCCTATTCACCATGTGTTATAAAGACACCACATCACAAGGCAGTCTTAAATACCAGACTACACATCTGTCTCACAGGCTCATCCCTGTGAGACACAGGAAAAGATCACAGCGACACAACAGCTTTTAGCCTATCCAGATACCTCAAACTCCACATTTTTTATTAAAGATCTTCAGTTTAAAAAAAGTGTACAGTAATCTGCTTCCACTGGGGCACACCTTTTCTAGTCTGAATCAAGTTATGAATGCAAGTCTGCTGAGCCAGCACTTTCTCCAAAGACACTTTTTCCTTATATGTTCCTGCCCTCCACACAAAAACTCAGACACATCTAAGCAACGTGAAAAATTTAAAAAAAAAAAAAAGGAAAGAAACAAAAAACCAACCAAACCCACTCAGATTTAAACACGGACAAGCTCCTTGATTCAGTGTGCCCTGTAATCACACAAACCATGCTCAATGCAAAGGAGGATAGGTCACTGAGCAGCAAGGACAGATCTTTCCCAGCCCCTAACACTGGAAAACTACATACTCAGTACAAGGTTACACCAACCCAAAAGCATAAAAAAAATCTTTCAAAGCAGAAATCAGATTTATAGTTCATCATATTTACTTTTTAACCATAACTGAAACAACATGTCTCATGGTCACATGCCTGTGCATAGGGCTTTCTAGTTCTACATGCTCCATTTTTGTAAAATATTTTGGAAACAGAAGTGACAGAAGACTGTACACATCCCTCCCACTTAAGCGGCAGGAGTTTACAGACCCTTAAGAGTGCTGTTGCTCCAAGAGGACAACAGTACTCCTCTTACTTCTGATCTTTGGAATGACTCAAAATAGTAGCGTCTCTTTCAAAGACAACATGAGATTTTTAGACAAAACCAACTTCTTCTGAGAGTAAACAGCTTAATCTAGATAGAGAATCTTCTAAATAAATCTACTGAAGTTGCTCACTAACAAACTTAAGACACTTCCAACTCTCCCCAAGTCCTTAGAAACACAACGTTCCTGCAACGCCGCACGAAAGTTGAAACAAGTTCCTTAAGATGTAGCTGAATGGGGCCCACTTTGTTGGTATTTGGACTGCAGACCATCTTAAACTCATTCTGAAAACCAGGCTTCTCGCCTAACATTGGATGTTCTCTCATCCAGCTGCCACCCAGCAAATTCGACGGACAAATTTCCCCACGAGCTGGCTGCAAATTAAACTTCGGGGAGACTTCAAAAACCATCATCCTTGTCCACTTCCTCCTTCGAAAGCCATCTTCTCACCCGCCAACAAGCGCGGCTATTGCCTACAGCAAACCAGCGAGTTATAAAAGAAAAAGAAGGGAGAAAAAAAAAAAAGCGAGCCCGGGGTGGGCGATTGGGCAGGACAGCGGCTGCCACCGATGAATGGAGCGGCCGCGGGGCATTCCGCGGAGCGCGGCCGGCCAGGGGCGGCGGGGCCGGCGGGACGGGGCGCGCGGCTCGGGCGACGAGCCGGGGCCTCCTCGACCCGCTCCCCGCAGCCCGGGCCTCCCGCCCCGCCACTCACCAGGATGCGCTTGAAGAGCGCGTTCTCCTTGGGCGGCAGGCTCACCGACGGCATCCTCCCCGCCGCCGGCTCCAGCGCCGCCGAGGGGCTCCGAGAAGGAGAGACTGAGTGGGCGGGCGGGCGGGCTACGTCCCGTCTCCGCCGCTGGGCCGCCGCAAGGCTGCCGCGGCGGGCGGGGGAGAGCGGGCAGCCATGGGGTCGCGCAGGATCTGCCCGGTCTGGCGCGGCGGAGCTCACCCGCCCGGGCGTCGGGGCGCGGGCGGGGCGGGGTGGTCCCACCCCCGCAGGCGGAGCCGCGTCCGGTCGACAAGATGGCGGCGGGCCTGAGGGCGCTGCGGCGCTGGGGGTTGGTGACAGCAGCACCACGACCCAGCCTTGGTGAGCGGCGGTGGCGGGGTGAGAGCCCCCTCGGGGTGGGCTTTGCCCCGGCCCGGCCCGGCCCGGCCTGGTCAGGCCGCCGCGTCCCCGCCAGCCAGTCCGCCTCTGGCGCTAGGGGAAGCTTCGGTGGTAGCTTTTCTCCTTTTGCTGTTTTTAATTCAATCCCATTAGTTGTTTTTTAGTCTTTTATTTATCTGTTTTAAGCTGGTGTTGCTTCCAGGCCGGGGTGAGGGCTTACCGTGTCTCGCCGTGCTGGAGGTGCCGGCCCCTTCGCTGAAGGCCCGGGGCTGGGGCTTTGGGCAGGGGACAGCGAGAAGCATCCTTGTGGAGCAGAGGATGCGGGGGGAAATAGTCATTGTGCTGGGGAACAGGCAAAAAGCTCTGCTTTTGAGTTGTTGGCAGCCCTGCTGTCCTCTCTCGTGGGTCAGGGAGTGTATGCTGTGAGGATCCTACCGAGGGGTCGGCTGTAACAATGTTATGGAGACCATTTCGTCCTTGGATTCGTTTGTGGTTTGGTTGTTTTTCCTGACTGCATGAATATCAGTAAGTACTTGGTAGCCTAACCCTGAGGAATGTTAATGCACTTGTAATTTTGTGCCTTTTTAGCTTTCACTCGTTCTGCATCTGTTGTGAATAAAGTGAGTAATGCTCAACCAAACTGGCTGGGAGTTGGCTTGGCATTTGGCACCAGTGCTGCCTTGTGGGCTCTGGTAAGTGTTTTGATTTGGTTTTGTTGAACTTAACTATTCCTTAAAAATCGTGATAGTGATGTGAATGCAGTGACTGCAACCTACTGAGTTTACTGAGGTAATGGATGGTCATAGCAGGTGTCAGATTTGATTTTGTTCATTATTTATGTTTTCCTAGCTCTTATTTTAAGAAATGAACAACTTCTTAAGCTTCTTTCTGTTGAAAACTTAAAATATCCACAACAGAATTAATTCTTCAAGCCTGTTGCATTAATGCTTTGGCATTATTTTCCCCAAGGTCTTTCCCAAAGGAAAGAAGACCTACGGATGTGCCCAGATAACGTTGTGTTTATCAGACTACCAGTGCATTCTCTTCTCACTTTTCAGCTGGTTAAAGTGTCTTTAGCTGATTTCAACAGATGAAAACCCCTTTTTCCTGAGCAAAGTGCAGATGTAAGATACTCTCTGTTTCAGAGAACTGATAGACTATGGTGTTCTCAGGAAGAATTGTGCAGGCTCAACAGCACTCCCCGTGGTGACAGTGTTTTCAGAGTGGGATGGATTCCCTTTGGAGTTTCCCCTTTTCTGGGGGCAGTGAATTAATTGTCAGTGGGAGCCACCCCCGTGTGGTCACGAGAAAATGTTTGTCCTGTGAGGCATTGTTTTCACACCTTTTTCAGCTGTTAATTTAGATATGTTGTGTTCTGGACGGTCCCAGCTACATGCTGGTTTGCATTTTGGATAGCAGGTATTTTACATTCTGTATAACTCTCTTTGTTGTCTGGATGCAGCTGTGAATTGTACAGCTGTTTATAACATGCTGCTCTTTTATAGCTTGTCAAGCAGCATAATGAAGATGTAATGGAATATGAGAGAAGAAAACAAGCGAGAGAACATAAGTGTAGAGAATGTTCATAGTAAGTATGCACACACAAATGTTTTTTACTTAGCTGAACACAATTTCTGAAGATCTTTGACATCTTTTAGGAGATACTGAACTGACTTACAGTCTTCTTTTTTTCCTCAGTACTTTGCATTTCGGCTTTTGCTATTCTTTAAAATCATTCCCAGCTTTAAAATGATAAGGTGGCTGATCTGTATTTTCATATATTCTCTTGTGTGTGTATTCCCTCTCAGCTTTCTATCTTGAACATGCAAACTCTTAGAGAATAATACATCTCTTACAGTGTCTACAATAAATAAAGGTTGCAAATTGAATACCTTGTAAATGGTTCAGTGGCAAGGAAACAAGAGTGACTAATGATAGCTTATCTTTTCATCTTGTTTTTTTCTTTTAACGTGTATTCAGTGGGGTATGTTTTTTCTCAGTTTCACATCTATATCTGCATAAAAAATGATGTAAAGTCAATGCCTGTAGATGTGCACTATAGGGCAAAGTGTCCCTTTTCAATCATCATTTTCCCTTTTCAATATAAAAAACATAATTTGTGTTTCTGCCAGCTAAGAAGTCTTCGGGGATTATGGCCTCAGAGCAATTAATATGCCACATGAAAAAAATCCTTATACTGTAGAAAAACTTGTGGTGCTGTGGTTATTTTTCCCCATAAACATTCCTCTCCAAATAAAAAGGCGGGATGTTGTGAGATGTTTCTGGCCACTTTCATCACATCTATTTTTCTTATTGCTAAGAATGTTTTCTTTTCTTTCTTAGGCTGATGACATGGTCACAAAGAGATGTGCACTACAGGGCCGAGTGTAAGTGGTCGTTGTCCTAGGAATAAATGAGCACAGAAGAAGTAAAGAGTTACCTAATTGCTTGTATGTTCATACATTTCATGTGCATAATTAAAAATAAATTATAAAGTATAGAAGAAACCATTAATATTTCATTCTGCTGGTCTTGAAGTTGTTTTATGTTTTTATTTCCATTTAATAGTTTATCAGTCTTATTTTCAAAACTGTCTTTGCTATTCTGGAAGGTATATTACAAAATTAAACATCAGTTCAGGTTAAGTTCAGTAAATATTCCAGAAATGTAGTCTTGCTCTGCCATCACTTTCACTGCTAAATTTATAAAATGAGCAAATACAAGAATAGCATCTGTATAAATGCTAAAATATGCATTTTCCTGTGGGCATTTTGGGAAGTGGCCGTGCCTGAAAGGTGCCCACAGGGGATGAACTACACAGCCCGTGTCAGTCTTGGGTGTGAGCACTGCCTTGTGAACGCTTCTGCCCTCTCTGTGCATCAAGGTCAGTCAAGGACAAAGGCTGCGAAAAGGGCAGCATGGCAGACTCTGATGGCACTAGATGATCATTGAGGGAAGAAAGAAGCTCTGTATGGAGAAAGGAGGAGAAACAGGGCTAACAGTGTAGGTAGGACAAGGACAGCTGCCCAGGTCTGACGTGGAAGTGCCCATGGTTGTGACAGTCGGCATGGGGAGGGGACACCGAGAAGCTTTGATCCCAGAGCATGATCCCAGAGCAGCGATTCACGTCGAGTGTCTCACTGCCAGCACCGAATGCCTTTGGCACGGTGCTTAACCCGAGTGCTCTTCTTAATTTTTTTTTTTCTCTTGGAAAATTTCCTTTTTAAGTAAAACAGTACTTTCTCCCTATCTTCTTTCTCCTCGGTAAATGCCATCCCTGTTATCCCGGCTCTGCTGTTGCGGTCAGCACCGCACGCCGTTTACTTGCCCCGGGGCAGGTCGGTGCCGGCAGCGCCCGGCTCCGCGCACTGCGCGCTCCGCTCCGCACGCCGCCTCCCCTCCCTCTGCAGCCGCGCTCCTCCCGCGCCGTTCCCGGGACACCGCGGCCGGCAGCGGTCCAGGTGCGCGGGGCGGGGCTGCGGCTCGGCCCGCCCCGCGGCACCGAGGCGGGACCGGTGTCCGCCGCCGCATCCCCGCCGCGACGGGCAGCGCGGAGTCGGCTGCGCTCTGCTCCGCTCCGCCGCCCGGCCATGTCCCTCTGCAGGACCGCCTCGCAGGCGCTGGGCTCGCTCCTGAGCAGGGCTCCTGCCGCCGCCAGCCGCCTCAGGCAGCGTGGTACGCGGGGCCGGGTAGCGCTCCTGGGATGGCGGGACGGGGCGCGGGCCGGGCGGCGGAGGAGATGCGCGAAGGTCGCGGATGGGGTCGGTGTGGGGCCGGGACAGGTGCGGCGGGGGCGGGCGGCAGCCGACGGGCTGCTCGGTCATCCTGGGCTCCGGCGCTGGCTGCTGCAGAGCTTCGCCGGGCAGCCGAGCCGTGCCGGGACCCCCGACCCTCACCCTGGCAAAAGGGCGGCCGCTGCTGCCTTCTCTTCCACCTGGAATAGCGGGGTACATCCCCCCCAGCAGATCAGCCCCCGGGGTCGGCGGTGCCCCGGCAGGGAACGGGAGCAGACCCGGTGCGCCACTGCCATGGCTTTTGGCGCATCAGGGGTTGTATAACCACTGGCAAAAAAAAAACCTGCCAGCCGTGTTCGGCGATGGCAGCTTGCTGATCACTGTCCTGCTACAGCCAGCAGCCCCGGGGAGGGGGAGGGTTAAGGAAACACTGCTGCTGAACGAAAATAAAAATGTATGCAAATCCATGAGGATGCCCGGCTATTGGAGAGGAGTCTGAGAATTGTGTCATGAGACAGATGATGCTAAACATAACCTAGCACACAATGGCAGTGTTTTGACGTTGCGATTATTTTTGCAGCTGTCAATTGCAATGCTCAGAGCCATTTTATTTTTCATGAGCACTTTTTCAATGAGACATTTCTCATCTGGGATCAAGTCACAAATTTACACAGAAGGCTGTGTTGACCAAGAGAATTATGTGTGTTTTTCATGGGTCTCTTTTTGAAGTGTACAGATGAATCCAAGACTGTAGTAAGAATCAGTTTATAACAAATGAATGGGTAGCACTGCTGTTAGAGTTATATGTATCCAGTCAGGTAAAAAATTGTGTAATCCTACCTCTCTGCCCTACTGGCCAATTCATGAGATGAAGGGTATGTGTCAAAGTGTCAGCAGTCTGAGAGTGAAAGAACATGAATTCAAATGAAGAAGCTTTTTTAAAAATTCTCTGTTTACCCTGAAGAGAGAATTCATTACTTCTGCTGATCATAAGGAATAAGGACAGATAATTCTTTTACCTACCTTAGTCAGGAGCTTTTTTACATTATTTTCTTTTTTTTTCTTTAACATTCCATAGTCTATATAGACTGTGCCCAGTACTTGGAAGCTGATGGCAGACAACATAGTTCACAGAAGAACACCCCTTAGGAAGAGCTCAGCCATGGAGCACCACACCCTGTGTTACTCAGTCATAGGATATACATCAGTATACATCAACCTCTATTTTATAACCATTTTGAATCATCCTTTCCCACACAGAGTTCAGATTCCATAATTCTTTTTTGTGATCGTATTTTAGCAGCACTTTACATCACTTTACCTAATGGTTTTTGTAGGGCCTCCTCGCCAGATGTCATCTGGGAGTGTTCCTGGCTCTTCTAGAGACAGCATGATGATCTATCTGCTTGCTGGTGTTGCTGCTTTTGGTGGTTTATTTTATGTAAGTGTTTGGGGATGGACCTGTTTGTGCTTTCTGAGCTGGCATGGTATAAGGTGGGTTAGAGTATGGTCAAGTTGCAAACCATCAATGATGTTGTAGCATATAGCTAAGTGCAGCCTAACTTAGAAATCAGCTTAAGAGAATTTAGTGAAGGTGAAAGCCTATTGCTTGCCTGTTTTACTGTTACTTCGATAAGTAGTGCTGGGTCACTCTTAGTGGAAAGTATATTTAAAACTATGTGGAATGAATGTGTCCAAAGGCTGAATAAGGCGCCTGTCTCTAACCCCTTGCCTTGTCTTGTCAACCAGAAACATTAGCAATGTTTCAAAGTGGGCAAGGCAGATGTGAAATAAGCAATCTGAAGTGGCAAGGGGAAGATACGAACCTTGTTAATTTGGGCACAGAAAAAGAAGATAACAGCATTAGTTACTTCAAGAAAGCATGTTAAAGTTTTGTAAACATTTGGTTTTGTTAAGCTTTTCAGTAACCATTCTCTTCCCTGCTTCTAAATGTATCTGATTCATCCCTAAATCCTCCGTTCTATAGCTTATTTCTACCCCTCTCCCCCAAGATCTCACATAGTGCCTTGCACACACCAGAGAGGTACATATTTCCCTGTCCCACAAAGTAATCCTCTTGAATGGTAAGTAGCTATTTGTTCAAAATATCAAACATGTATGATTGCATTTCTATTAGAATAACATAGTCTCTCTCTTCCTGTCACATTTTTACCACATTACAAAAATAGAAATCTTAATATAATTATCTTTTAAAATGCTGTTTTCAATTCCTGAAACACTGCAGCACTTCAAAAGCTGCATGGTATATTGTTTTGCTTTCTAACAATGGAGAAATATGAAATACGTAAAAAATATTAGTATAGTAGGTTATTAATTTTTTTAAACCTAGCTTAGGATAAATTTTATGTGCATTTTAAGATGGGCAGTAGCATTTGCTTAAAATCCCTTCTCTCCCTCTCTTCTCTTTGTGTTTGGTAAATTTGTAGGGATGTAGCTGTAAATTCAGGTATAATTCCCTTTCAGGCCTACAGAGTAGTCAGTTCACCCCGCAGCAAGTTTGTTGAACATAAAAATATTCTTCCTGAGAGAGCCGAGGGGCAGAAAAGCAACCTGTGGTCAAGCAAGGGTGAGTTGAACTCCTTTCTCTTGTTGCCTGGGTACATGAGGATTTGGAACAGATTTCTGGATTGTCTAATCAGGCTTTAGCACTGTCCATGTCCCTGTCTGAACTGTGTGAGTGGGAGTGAAGACAGAGGTGGTTGTACAGTATTGTTCTCTTACAACGCTGCTGCTGCACAAATTTTGGTAGTGGCCTTAAAGTTCAGGCAGTGAATCTGATCTTTGATCCACCTGTGGAGTCTTTTTGGATGGAAAGAGCTGATGTGTGAATACTATTAATTGTATAATGGGTATTTGATTTACTGGAAGCTTAATGAAACTTGACTGAATACATAATGCTGTCAAAATCAATTTTGTTCTTTTGTTTTCAGTGTGGGGGAGAAGATAATATCTTTTCTCAGTCAACAGGTTGGCTTCAGGCCACATGCCGTCAGGAAATACAGTTCAATAGGGGGAAAAAAACCTACATTAACAAAAAGTTAACTTGGGTCAATTTTTTCTCCTACAACTTTGATTTTGTCTTTTCTGGTTTGGGGTTAGATGAAATGCAGGAATTACCTAAATGCATAGCAAATCCTTACTTAGCTCTTCGTGCTTGAACAGTTAGACTGTGTTAGTTCAATTACTTGTAACGGAATGCTGTCCCTGTCTACATCAATTAGTGTTATAGCATTAATGTAAAAGGTAGAAAACTTTGGGAAGCATGGCCTTGCTAGGAAAATTTCTTAAGGATCTTTATATATTTTTTGTTGTTATTTAAAAAAAATAAAGTATTGAAGCCAGGGCACTTGAAGCTCTTCCTTTTTTTTTTTTTAATACTCTTGACTTCTAGTGAATTGATTTAGTATATTTGCATGCAGACAAAGAATGGATTTGAATAAAGTATCTCGGGTTTAAATTTTGTTTTCAGTGTGAGAGCATGGTTTAAATTGTCTGCCTCTGTAATTATTTCTTTAGAAGTTGCTAGCCTTGAACTTCTACAACACATGCTTTAGTTTCAGAACATTAAAATTGCAGATTTTAAGATTTAAAGTAGTAAAATACCTTAATTTCCAAAACAAGCAAGCAGCTGAACACAGTACAGTTTTAAAACTCAATTGTTTAAATAAATGCTGAGAATTCAGCCACAATTTGCAATCCTTCATTGTCCCTAAAATAGAAAATGTAACGAGGACCAAAGCAGATCTCTCCTATGGAGCTAGTCTCCTGCTGTGCAGGGCAGAAGTGAGGATTACCCTTGTTACACTCTGATTGCCATAGTTGGGAGAACAGGGAAGCATTTAGCAAACCTTCCAACGTATTGCCAGGGATGTCAGTGTATTCCCTCTTCTCTCCCAAGGTGCACTTCTGCAAAGTACTGAGTTTTAGCCCTGGCCTATCCACATGTTAGAATGAAACACCCACAGCACTGAGTGCTCAGCAACTGATCTTGGATACTCTCCAGACATCCCATAATCTGCTGCTTACAAAGTCACATAAATGTCACAACCCATGGCAGATGATTGCTATCTCTCTTTTTATTGATAGTAAGAATGCTTCTAATGCTATTCAGTGAATACAGTTGAAACTCGTTTCCTGTATTGTTTTCAATATTTGACTTCTGAATACATGCTCAACCCAGAGCTTTTAGTTGGACTTCTGAGTAGCTGATTCCAATTCAAAGTACAAAACCACCATTGAATCAGCACCTTTTTAAAATCCTTCTTCATTCCCAGCTGTGTACACCCAAAAGAACAGGACATTAAGAACGAGCATCAGTTCTGTTCTTACTTTTCCTACAGAATCCACTGTGTGCATTCTCAAAAGAGTTAACAGTCCCCTCCCTCCCCTTTTTCTCCCATTCCCTGCATAGTCATATTTTTATGTTTATCTTGTCACAGAGTGTTAGAATAGTATTGCTTTTCCCAGAAGTGCCATTGCAGTTTCTTTCCCTGTGCATTCTTTAGAGTCAGTCCTTATATTTTTTTCACAATAAGCATTGCTGATAAGAGCAGTTAAAAATTCTGTTCTCAAAGTATTCTGATATTTGTTTAGGGGCACATTAAATCAAGCTTAAAATCAGCTCTAAAACAGAGCTGGTAACCATATGAAGTGGTGTATAGAAAAGCAGTATGCCAAGCAGCATGTTTGCAGGCGTATTTGCTGCCTATGGTAAAAAAACTTTCTATGTGGAAGAACTTAATACTGGAGAGCAGCTGATCAGAGATTCTTTTGATAGGATTTTTGTGGTTTCTCATGTGGGGGAAAATTCTCCCCTTATGCCTGAACCCAAAATTTCTGTTACAAAGAACTGTACATAGTGAACAAGTCTGTCAAAACAAGAGAAAGAATCATTCTAGGTTCTTTGTGTATTAGAGGGTTGAAATTATATTTAATGATATTTTAATTAATGATAACAGACATTTAGAAAGAGATCTGATAGCAATTTTTCTGTGGCTCTTTTTTACTAAAAGCTACTCTCAAATTAGGGAGGGATTTAAAAAGCCCCTGGAAGAAGACTGACTCAAAAGTAGAAAATCTGGGACATCATTTCAAATGTAAAATGATGTTTGGCTTGCAGGATGTTCTCCTTGCTTGTTTAGTGAATACTGAGTTTTTTCTTCCATTTGTTGTTCATGTCCTTTAAGATGTTTGTTCCTGACTTCTTTCTTTTTTATCTATGACTTTTCTTTTTAACTCTTTGCAAGCTGATTCGATCTTTTTAATCTATACTCTGCTTCTACACTTTCCAGACTTTCTAATGTATGCTCTGCTTTTACACTTTCCAGACACAAGGGAAATCTTTTTCCAAACCTGAGGAAGTTAAATACAAACAAAGGACAATCGTTTACCATTGAGTACATTGCAGCCTACCTTGGGATGACTTTATACCTTCATTTGTAAAACTCCCTTTGTGTGAGACTTTAAAAGAACTACCCATGTTTGCAAGGCCAAACCATATTGAGCTTATTACTGAATCTGCTTTGTAGAAGGCAGTTCTGAGATGGAGAAGCTGGCTGTTCTGAATTAATGCACTCTATATTTGACTGTCCAATAAAGTGTACTGTATGCTGATCTTGGCTGTTAGCCTGTTCTTTGTGTAATGAATGAAGGTTTTTTTAAAAACAGTGTTTTCTTAAAGGGACATGATCAGGTGTAATAAGGCAAAGTTTTGATTTTTACCGAGCAATGAATGGGCTTGTCTTGAAACCTGAACACCAAATTATACGCTTTCACTGGCATAAGATGACTGAGAAATGAAATTGATCTGTTTAGTTTTTAAACAGATACAAAAGAATCAAACAAACTCTGACTATGTCTCTTTAAGCTTTTTTGTTTCAATTCTCACATAGTTTACACTATGTTACAAATTGATTTCCAGTTCTATTTTTTTTTTTTTGCATGGTGAGTTGGTTCTAGTGGTTAACTTGTGATGAACTGTTGGTGTATAACTTTTCCTTTGTGAGCTTGATGTTAGTGCATGTTTGCATGGTGGTTGAGCATCTCTGTTGCTTTGTGCTGTTAGTTTTTCATTACTTGTCTCAGTTGAATTTGAAGTGATGCATGACTGGGAAACACCATTTTTCAGGTTCCAAGGAGTTGGACCCAGAGTGGTGTAAACAAGTCTTTAAAAGAGAGTTGTGAGTTGTAAAAAGAAAATAATCAGTCATGATTATTAATAAATGGTCATACATCTAAGAAAGTGAGCTCTGACCACTTGAAATTAGCAAGTTGTTTTCTTACTTATATAAGACCAAATGTCTTATTCCCCACATGAATTCCACAGAGTCATGCTCCCTCTGGCACCTGTGTGTGTACCTTCACTGGCCCTTTCAGCAGAGTGCTTTGATGCCACACTTGACAATGTCCTTTGTTATCCTTCCCTGCACCCCCAACACTTGCTTAAAGTCACAGTTTATTTTTGTATCACACTGAAACATGTTATGAAACTCAGTAATTAAGAATATGGTTTCCTCATCTTATAAACACAGTTTTTTGATGCCACATTAGACAATATGGGGGATTAATTATCGATCTTTATTAATTCTGATCCCAAATCTTGGCTTCCCACTTCAAATTTAAATGAGGATGATGATAAAAAGTATTTGGTGAATTTTTTGTTGCATGCATGCATTTTACTCTCTTTATTGTATTGAATAAATCCATAGAAGGTGATGGAGAAGAGGTGGATGAAGTCACTGGAGCAGAGAAGACCGTGGAAGAAGCTGATGCAGCAGCTTCAGTTGAACCTGCAGCACAGGATGAGAGTGCTGGACCCACAGCACAGGATGAGACTTCTGGGGTGTCCCCAGAAGCTGGAGGGGAGAATGACTTACTGGCTCCAGAGGTATCCCACGCTATGGAAGAAGCACAGCAGGAAGCTGCTGCTAATTCAGAAGCTGCTGCTAATTTGGAACTTGCTGCTAATTCAGAAGCTGCTGCAGTTCAAGGTTAATTTATGAATGTAGTTCTTGAGTGTGTGTGTGTGTGTTCTAAAGCTCTGCCTCTTACAGAACATTAAGAATGAACATCAGTGTTCCTAATGGATTTTGTCCAGCAGTGAAAACTAATTCAGGCATTAACATTGACATATCATGAGCATGAGGTAATTAAGTTTATTAAATCAGTGTCTCTGAAAGCATCCTGCCTCTGGCACCAGAGTTACTATCTAAAACGAGTCAAATGTTTATTCTTCTACCCCATCCTATTTCTTAAAATATTAAGTTGATCTTATAATGTGATCAGTTAAACAGTTGTTTTAGTGATCTAGTTCTCAAGGATGTGTCAAGGAATCTAAACACTTTAGTTCACTAGCCATTCCAAAGATATTCACCCTGAATAATTATATCTGTTCTATCAATGTAACTTAAGCAGGATCTTGCATAGCAAAGAAAATGCTGTCACAGTCTCAATTTAAGGGTATATTAGACTAAATTTTCACAATAAAATGTCAAATTGTTGTTAAAAACTGAAATTGGTAAGTGGCAAAACATTCAGTATTTTGAGCTGTCAGGGTGTTTGAAATATTTTGGTTTATTATGCTTTTAAAAAACTGCAATAATACAAATGCAAAACTATCCATAACATGCGTAAGATACAGGATTGTAATTTAATTTGGCAGATTATTAAGGTTGTTTTTTTAAATTTTCTTGTTGCCACTGGTCTTGAGAGGATATGTCTAAAATACAGATCAAACTGAGATTAAAAGTATTTTGACTGCTAATCTATGGGCTTTTATCATAGTACTGTCAAAAGTGTTAGCAGATTTGGAATGATTTTCACTTTCTTCCTTGATGACTCCAGTGAGGAGTGGATGCATCTTATTAGCCTTTTTAATAAATAAACTTGAAAAATAGTGCAGCACATCTAATTGCTGAGTTTTGTGAAAGGTCTGTGTATGAATGCAATTTTAATTCAAATGTGACTACTTCCTGTGCTTGTCTCTGAAACAATCTATTACAAATAACATTTTAAAACAATACTTAGTCTGATCTGCTGTAACACAATTTATAGAAAGTAGAAGTAAGTACCTTGGCTGTGATTATTACTGCTTACATATAGAAATATTTATAAGATAGTAGTTAAAATACATAGAGCCCTAAAAATTTCAATTTCTATGGAATATGTAGACCACTTCATTAAGAAAGGAAGTAGTCTGTTATATGTAAAATTTGGCAAATTAGAGCCATTAAGAGATGTGTTTAAAACTGCACTGCTGCATCTCTTGCTCTACAGAGCAATCACAAAATTTCCCTTTAATTTCATAAGCACTTGCTTGTGTCTGGAGGTGGTTGTGTATTCCTTTCACAGTGCTTATTTACGAATAACTGTTCATTGTTGGATAAGGTAGGATCTTCTGTATGGTACATATTTCTGCCATTTTATCGAAGAGGCTCTTCCCTGAGAAAGGGAAGCTGGGATCTTCCCTGAGAAACGTGGTGCATAAATTGATTAGATATTAGGAATAAAGTCTTTCTTGTGAGGGTACTGGGGCATTGGAACAGTTTCCCAGCTGTGGGTGCCCCATTTTTGGAAGTGTTCAAGGCCAGGTAGCATGGGGCTCTGAAGAATCTGGTTTAGGGGGAGGTATCCCTGCCCATGGCAGATGGTTTGAACAAGATGGTCTTTAAGGTCCCTTCCTACCCAAATCACTCTGTGGTGATTCTGTGGTTAGGTCTGAGCATCTCATTCTGAACATGTAGACCTCATGTACTCAGTGACTGCTATTTGATAAGAAGAAATATGGCTTGTAATTGTTAGTTCCTGCTGGTGTTCTCTGGAAGTGGAGGAGCTCTTTAGAAATTACTGATTTCTAAGATTTAGCATCTCTGGCAACATACTTATGGAGGAAAATAGCACTAGAACCAGACTTCTGTTATGCTGAAAGTTGTAAGGGAGCCTGAGGGTCATCCCAGGTGCCCTCTACCAAACCTTGCTGCAGTGGTGATCCTTGGCTGGGTGGTAAAGCTAGCAGAAACAAACCTTTGGGATGTAAAATTGTCAAGAAATTGAAGCAAAGGAGTGTTCTCCTTGCCTGATGTCTTGGGTGTTCCCGGGATGTTGTAACTTGCTCCTGAGCACAGCTGTCCTGCAGCACTGGACCCGAGTGCAGATTGCTGTGAGCAAGTGCTGGTGACAGGTGTGACCAGGGTGCTGAACCCTGGGGACCTCTCCAGGGTTCACATGAGGTTATACCCAGTGTAACCCAACTCCTGGCCTGGCAGGCTGGACAGGCTCCTGCTCCAGGTCACCTTAGTGCTCCCTGCTCCCTCATCCTGCTCTCCTCATCCTGGTCCTGCCTGCAGAAGGACAGCAGGGCCTCCAGAGCAGTTCTTCCCAGAGTTCCTGACCATGGGAAGGAAGGCACATGGTCTGATCATCCAGATCAGCGTCCCTAAACCAGCATCCCTTTCCTCTAAGCTACATAAGAACTAGTTTCCATTGGCATCATGCTAACAAGAAGATGATGGTTTGTTTCAAAAGTTCTCTGCTTTCTCTGTACCACTTCGTTCAGTGTCTACTTGCAGCCAACAGCTATTGTGTTTAAAAAAATCTAATTAAAATCTTTCTGGATATAACTTTCAGTTTTGGATTTAAGCATCTTTATCATTCATGTTTTCTTCATTTAGAGGAAAAAAATAACACAGCTCCACTTGTACTGAGGTAGAGAAATATGTATTTGAGTAACTTTAACTAGTTTTGTTGGTAACTTGGTGTTACTTCTGCAGATGAAGGTATAAGTATTTTTATTGTTACCAGTGAACCTCTGCTTTTTCAAATGCAATTGTTTCTTTTAATCTATAAAGCTTTCTCTAACGTTTGGAAGTGCAAGCTGTGAAGGAATGCTTGTCTCCAGCTCCTGTATACAGATAATGTAAATGTATCATTATACATGGATGTGCAAAAAAACCTCCCATCCAAACCAAAACAGATACCAAACAAACAAACAAAAAAACAACCCAGCCTTGGAGGTGGATGCTTAATACTTAATCAGGATAATTCCCATTTCAGACAGTTAACAATTGTACCTTCCTGGAATGTTCTCCTTGCCTCAAGTTAAGCAATTTACAATCCACAATTCCAATCTGGAATTCTGTGAAATACTGTTACCAAAATAAGTACTGAAGTTTGTTACTCTGTTCCCAAGATTTTAACTTCCTCTAAATTCTAATTTTCTCTACTTTTTTATTGCTTGAGCTGTCACTCTTGGTTACTGCCTGATGCCGATTAAATTCCTGTTGTTCTCCTCCTAGTGTACTCTGTGTCTGGGACCATAAATTAAATTTTTCTTCAGACAAACCAAATGCTGAAAAATTCACCAAAACTGCTATTTGGATTAGGCAAGGTTGTTGCATCTGTGACTTCTGGTGTTTGGGTTGCCACCATAAACTCTTCTCCAGCTCTGGTATTGAGGCTTGAGGTTTTGGCATTATAAACTGAAATAAGAGAAGCAATTTTGCCCCAAACTGTGCTTTTCCAGACTTCTTCCTAACTTCTCTAGCATAGGTTTTTTCCCTAAGCTTTAAAGTATTGAAGGGCATGGTCTCTTCTCTGTTATTTCCAAGGCTATTTGAGTGAGTGACTGGGTTTGGGGAGGATTAGAGTGTGAATGTGCCAGTGTTTTCCATGCTAAGCTTCAAACACACTGCAGTGGCAGCTGTCTGCAGCCTAGAGAAACAAATGCAGGCTGCTCTGGACAGGAGCTGCTGCTTTCAGGACAGGACTTTTGCTGACCCCATCACACAGTGATGCCAAGCAGACAAAAGCAGCTGATATAATCAGTGTACACCAGCTTGGCTTGGTGCACTACCAAATTCTGGGTGTGCTGACACTGTTAGTACTTAGAAAATTACTGGAGAGTCCTCAGAGTGATTTGCAATTGCTCATACTTAATCAGAGCCTTTCAGAATTACATTGCTCAGTAGAACAGACACACCATTCTAGGCATCTGTTTGTGTGAGATGGAGGAATGAAGACTTTTTTCTCTTTACTGATTATGATAGACTGATCTGGCTAAATTAGGCCCTAAGAAGTGGAATTATGTAATGGAACTTCTCTTGGGTATTTCTGTTACACATTTATCACTTTCTTTTATCTGTCTCTGGGACTGCTGCATTTATCTTATATCTCTCTGATTGCCATACACTGGCCACTAGTCTCTTCTTCTTCCTTCTGTTTTTCCTTCCTAAAACTGAGTTTTAGATGACTCATCATAGCATAACTGGAAGAAAGCAAACAATATTTAGAAAAAAAATTCTGTAAAAGTTGTGAGCATCTGAAGACCCCAGCTGGTACATGGAGACCCCAGCCATGGTACGTGGCTTCTCAAAAATGGTAGAAGGTCATACAGTGAATAATATTGCCTAAATGAATGTCACTATTAATGAGAAAATAGATGTACTACTTTTACTAGTATTAATAGCTCATTGTCAAGACTTAAAAAAACCCCTTAAAATAACTATATGCATTTAAATTTGAAAGCAACAACTCACTTTATACAACAAAATCTGTTAGCATTTAATTTAGTGTTACCTGAGTTTGAAATTTTCCTGTAAATACAACATTCACAGGAATACTGTTAGTCCCCTACTTTAGAGAAAAGATGGCAACAGGCACCCCTTGCTGTTTTCCTGTGGCGGCATTTCAAACCAGAATTGGAATGATGGGGATTTTGAAGTTAATTTTTGGGCAATGTTTCCTATAGCTGAGAAAAACATCCTTTTCAAACAACAACTTTACTCCTTTAAAAACTGCAGATAAAGTGGATAAAGTTTTAAGTGAATAAAACTTGGTGCATTACTTTGTATGAGGAATATTAAAGAAAATGTCTTAATTAGGAGTTTTTTATAACTCCCAAAGGATTTAATACATCAAATTATTAGAGTATTTTTCATACAGATGGTTTATATTAACTTGTGCTAGTTTTCCTTGTGATCCATTCCAGTCAGTA